TCACCAACAATGAGACAGTCTGGTCTCACCAACAATGAGACAGTCTGGTCTCACCAACAATGAGACAGTCTGGTCTCACCAACAATGAGACAGTCTGGTCTCACCAACAATGAGACAGTCTGGTCTCACCAACAATGAGACAGTCTGGTCTCACCAACAATGAGACAGTCTGGTCTCACCAACAATGAGACAGTCTGGTCTCACCAACAATGAGACAGTCTGGTCTCACCAACAATGAGACAGTCTGGTCTCACCAACAATGAGACAGTCTGGTCTCACCAACAATGAGACAGTCTGGTCTCACCAACAATGAGACACAATGAGACAGTCTGGTCTCACCAACAATGAGACAGTCTGGTCTCACCAACAATGAGACAGTCTGGTCTCACCAACAATGAGACAGTCTGGTCTCACCAACAATGAGACAGTCTGGTCTCACCAACAATGAGACAGTCTGGTCTCACCAACAATGAGACAGTCTGGTCTCACCAACAATGAGACAGTCTGGTCTCACCAACAATGAGACAGTCTGGTCTCACCAACAATGAGACAGTCTGGTCTCACCAACAATGAGACAGTCTGGTCTCACCAACAATGAGACAGTCTGGTCTCACCAACAATGAGACAGTCTGGTCTCACCAACAATGAGACAGTCTGGTCTCACCAACAATGAGACAGTCTGGTCTCACCAACAATGAGACAGTCTGGTCTCACCAACAATGAGACAGTCTGGTCTCACCAACAATGAGACAGTCTGGTCTCACCAACAATGAGACAGTCTGGTCTCACCAACAATGAGACAGTCTGGTCTCACCAACAATGAGACAGTCTGGTCTCACCAACAATGAGACAGTCTGGTCTCACCAACAATGAGACAGTCTGGTCTCACCAACAATGAGACAGTCTGGTCTCACCAACAATGAGACAGTCTGGTCTCACCAACAATGAGACAGTCTGGTCTCACCAACAATGAGACAGTCTGGTCTCACCAACAATGAGACAGTCTGGTCTCACCAACAATGAGACAGTCTGGTCTCACCAACAATGAGACAGTCTGGTCTCACCAACAATGAGACAGTCTGGTCTCACCAACAATGAGACAGTCTGGTCTCACCAACAATGAGACAGTCTGGTCTCACCAACAATGAGACAGTCTGGTCTCACCAACAATGAGACAGTCTGGTCTCACCAACAATGAGACAGTCTGGTCTCACCAACAATGAGACAGTCTGGTCTCACCAACAATGAGACAGTCTGGTCTCACCAACAATGAGACAGTCTGGTCTCACCAACAATGAGACAGTCTGGTCTCACCAACAATGAGACAGTCTGGTCTCACCAACAATGAGACAGTCTGGTCTCACCAACAATGAGACAGTCTGGTCTCACCAACAATGAGACAGTCTGGTCTCACCAACAATGAGACAGTCTGGTCTCACCAACAATGAGACAGTCTGGTCTCACCAACAATGAGACAGTCTGGTCTCACCAACAATGAGACAGTCTGGTCTCACCAACAATGAGACAGTCTGGTCTCACCAACAATGAGACAGTCTGGTCTCACCAACAATGAGACAGTCTGGTCTCACCAACAATGAGACAGTCTGGTCTCACCAACAATGAGACAGTCTGGTCTCACCAACAATGAGACAGTCTGGTCTCACCAACAATGAGACAGTCTGGTCTCACCAACAATGAGACAGACAGTCTGGTCTCACCAACAATGAGACAGTCTGGTCTCACCAACAATGAGACAGTCTGGTCTCACCAACAATGAGACAGTCTGGTCTCACCAACAATGAGACAGTCTGGTCTCACCACACCTATACACCTTCGGAAAGTCCTCTGGACCAGTATTAAATGTTGAAAACTAGAACTAGTGAAATAGAGAAATAAATCTAGAAAGTGAACATTAGACAATGACCCTGTCTCTAGATAAGTTGTATGAGTGAACTGGTTTGAGAACCATCTAGTAGGATCTCTAGAAACGTTGATCAGTGGGAAACTTTATCTAGAGTTTTCTAGATCCTAGATACTGATAGTTATACATATATATTTTTTTTTAATTTTTTTTGTGGTTTACTGAACAATAAGGGTGTGGTACACAGTCTGACAAATGTGTTCACCCGCTGTTGTTGTGGACTTGAATATGAACTCTGGGATATTAGGAGTTGAGGAACTTATATCCAGAGTGTTGTTGTTGGTTAAGGGACATGTCTGTGGACATTGAATTTTTTTAATAATAAAAATATTTCTGTGTCTTTTCTTTAGATTTTAAGATTGGGATGCGCTGTGGTGGACAGTTGCCACAGGTGTGGAGTGGAACACTAGGTCCCTGAGAGGTAGTGTTCTTCCATGTTGATATAATTTTATAATTTTGTTAAATTTTTTTAATGACATTGATTTTTTTTATTTAATGTTTTGTGTGATGTGTTTGATCTTTATTCCGGGTGGAATACTGGGATAGCTGAAGGCTATCAGCTGATTTTAGCTAGTTAGTAATTGTTAGGTTGGGATTTCTCCAGTTATTTGTTACTATATCAAGACAGGTATAGGATATTTTGTCTTCCAGGTAGTTGGAAGGGTACGGGGCTGCATCCAAGTGGACAGCCAGGATTATAGGGGCGGTCTCTGTCCTTATGTTTTATGTATTATTACTGTTGTGTTGATAGGTATAAATACATGCTGGAGCACACCTTTTGGGTGTGCCGTTATTGTTGTTGGAGTATTGTATGGAATTAGTTAGGATTAGATAATTTCTTTTGTTTTGAGGCATTGGTTTAAAATAGTGTTGGGTTAAAAATGTTGTTTTTGGAGTTAATGGTTAGGGTAGGGCCGGATTTCTGGATAAGAAAAGTGTGTGTAACTTGCTTTACACACAAATTTCTTAATTTCCGAGGAGGGGGAGTTGTAATGATCTGGGGCTCAGATCATTGGTTCTCCCTTCTCCCCTCTTTTCCCTCCCCTTCTCCCCTCCTTTCCTTCTCCCTCTCCCCTCCTTCCTTCTCCCCTCCCCTTGGCCGTCATTCGTCGCCTCCTCTTCCCCCCCCTGTCGCCCATTTGTCAGGGTCAAGAGGTTGACCTGAGGGTAGGGTGGTCGTGGATACCTTGGCTTCTCCCACTCAATTCCCCACTCAGATATTTCCCTCTCCACCCCCTCTCATCCCTCTCTGTCCCTCTCAGCAGCGGCCTTCCCCATACCAGGCAGAGTCAAATGTCCCTACTCCTATCTTAGAGGAGACAGGCTTGAACATAAATTATCAGTTTTGTAAACATTGCTCGCAGGTGTCTGGGCTCCATAGACGCGCCTTGTCCCCCTTCTCTAGCTGGGGAGAGCTGACTCAATCTTCAGAAATTCATGTAGCTTTCCACGACAGATCAGTGAAGGTGATTGGCCTGAGATAAGGGCCAAGTCCTTATTGGCCCTAGAGTGCCAGACCTCAGGCCTACGTGTTAAATGGTTGGCCAGTGCCAAAATAATGGGTGGAGCCCTGGGGCTGTATTAGATGGTGGGAGGAGCAATCCTTCCCAGCAATAAGTTGGAAAAACTAAATTTCATCAGTGTGTCTTGGGAGTGTATTAGGAACAGGGCCGCAAGCCCGTATCCTCGGGGCTGAGGGCAGCCATCAACATCGTGGCCGTAGTGCGGGTATTTAAGGTAGAGTAGCACTTGAGTTTCGTGTCCTCGGTAAATATCCATTGTGCCTCTAGGGAAATAGAATAGGTGATGTGTTCAAATTGTCTTAATTTACGTTTCATAAAATAAATTGTATAGCTTGTCCAGTGGTATTCACTAACTCCCCTTTGATATATTTTGCTACTTTGTCATTTTTTAGGTGTTGTATTGGAAGCCCCCCAGGTTCTCCTAACAATAAATCGATACTAAAGTTGCCCTTGGATTTAAATTAGTAACGTAAATTACACAAACTAATTTTCCAAAATTTATTACTGAAATTCATATTACCCGGAGTCCCAGGATTACTGATTCCTTGCCTTCCTGGGGGATCGGTGATTGACACATTCAGGTATGGTTGGTCAGGAAGGTGGTGGCAGTGTAAATGTGTTTTGTTATTGTTTCTTTTAACTAATAACCCTTGTCCTTGGTGTATCTTCCTCATTTAATATTCCTCTTACATACGTGGCAGTCCAGTGAGGGGTCATACTGGACTGTAACAGTGTTAAGCTGGGGTATTGAGTGAAGAGACAGAGATGTGCAACAGAGAGCGTATATTACGATCACGAGAGATAACAAGATAACAGGATTAATACTGGGGAACATTGGGTTATTGGGTTATTACAATAGAGGCCGCGGTTATTACGGCAGGGTAAGCGGTTATTACAGTCTGGTCTCACCAACAATGAGACAGTCTGGTCTCACCAACAATGAGACAGTCTGGTCTCACCAACAATGAGACAGTCTGGCCTCACCAACAATGAGACAGTCTGGTCTCACCAACAATGAGACAGTCTGGTCTCACCAACAATGTGACAGTCTGGTCTCACCAACAATGAGACAGTCTGGTCTCACCAACAATGAGACAGTCTGGTCTCACCAACAATGAGAGAGTCTGGTCTCACCAACAATGAGACAGTCTGGTCTCACCAACAATGAGACAGTCTGGTCTCACCAACAATGAGACAGTCTGGTCTCACCAACAATGAGACAGTCTGGTCTCACCAACAATGAGACAGTCTGGTCTCACCAACAATGAGACAGTCTGGTCTCACCAACAATGAGACAGTCTGGTCTCACCAACAATGAGACAGTCTGGTCTCACCAACAATTATCACATACAGATCATCGCCACCTGAACCTAAACACATAAAGTAACTTAACATAACATTGAACATAATGATAGTAATTTATTTATGAGAACAAACCTGTTTTAATACACAATATGTTAAGTGTGAGGAAGGAGTCTCTAGGGGGCGGGGGCGCTACACGGAGCCTGGCCTGAGGACAGTCATGCTCCGGCAGGTGTGGAGAGTGGCCCAGACAGTCATGCTCCGGCAGGTGTGGAGCCTGGCCTGAGGACAGTCATGCTCCGGCAGGTGTGGAGAGTGGCCCAGACAGTCATGCTCCGGCAGGTGTGGAGCCTGGCCTGAGGACAGTCATGCTCCGGCAGGTGTGGAGAGTGGCCCAGACAGTCATGCTCCGGCAGGTGTGGAGAGTGGCCCAGACAGTCATGCTCCGGCAGGTGTGGAGAGTGGCCCAGACAGTCATGCTCCGGCAGGTGTGGAGAGTGGCCCAGACAGTCATGCTCCGGCAGGTGTGGAGAGTGGCCCTGACAGTCATGCTCCGGCAGGTGTGGAGAGTGGCCCAGACAGTCATGCTCCGGCAGGTGTGGAGAGTGACCCAGACAGTCATGCTCCGGCAGGTGTGGAGTGTGGCCCAGACAGTCATGCTCCGGCAGGTGTGGAGAGTGACCCAGACAGTCATGCTCCAGCAGGTGTGGAGAGTGGCCCTGACAGTCATGCTCTGGCAGGTGTGGAGAGTGGCCCAGACAGTCATGCTCCGGCAGGTGTGGAGAGTGACCCAGACAGTCATGCTCCGGCAGGTGTGGAGAGTGGCCCAGACAGTCATGCTCCGGCAGGTGTGGAGAGTGACCCTGACAGTCATGCTCCGGCAGGTGTGGAGAGTGGCCCTGACAGTCATGCTCCGGCAGGTGTGGAGAGTGGCCCTGACAGTCATGCTCCGGCAGGTGTGGAGAGTGGCCCTGACAGTCATGCTCCGGCATGTGTGGAGAGTGGCCCAGACAGTCATGCTCCGGCAGGTGTGGAGAGTGACCCAGACAGTCATGATCCGGCAGGTGTGGAGTGTGGCCCAGACAGTCATGCTCCGGCAGGTGTGGAGAGTGACCCAGACAGTCATGCTCCGGCAGGTGTGGAGAGTGGCCCTGACAGTCATGCTCCGGCAGGTGTGGAGAGTGGCCCAGACAGTCATGCTCCGGCAGGTGTGGAGAGTGACCCAGACAGTCATGCTCCGGCAGGTGTGGAGAGTGGCCCAGACAGTCATGCTCCGGCAGGTGTGGAGAGTGACCCAGACAGTCATGCTCCGGCAGGTGTGGAGTGTGGCCCAGACAGTCATGCTCCGGCAGGTGTGGAGAGTGGCCCAGACAGTCATGCTCCGGCAGGTGTGGAGAGTGGCCCAGACAGTCATGCTCCGGCAGGTGTGGAGAGTGGCCCAGACAGTCATGCTCCGGCAGGTGTGGAGAGTGACCCAGACAGTCATGCTCCGGCAGGTGTGGAGTGTGGCCCAGACAGTCATGCTCCGGCAGGTGTGGAGAGTGGCCCAGACAGTCATGCTCCGGCAGGTGTGGAGAGTGACCCAGACAGTCATGCTCCGGGAGGTGTGGAGAATGGCTCAGACTGTCATGCTCCGGGAGGTGTGGAGAGTGGCCCAGACAGTCATGCTCCGGGAGGTGTGGAGAGAGGCTCAGACAGTAATGCTCCTGCAGGTGTGGAGAGTGGCCCAGACAGTCATGCTCCGGCAGGTGTGGAGAGTGGCCCAGACAGTCATGCTCCGGCAGGTGTGGAGAGTGTCCCAGACAGTCATGCTGTGGGACGATTAGTAAGCTCTTGGCCTCATCCGTCAGGTACCGGCTGTTGTCAAGTACATTGTATCCGTCAACACTGTACTTTACAGTGGTTCTTCTGAAAGATACTTATTTGTAAACTGAACTCCAAGTAAATCACTTCCTATTGCGTCGGCCTTTACTCATTGTTCCTTTACACGGCTTTTCCTCCAATCTTCCATTCTCTCAAGTTCCAGGTTTTCTTGTAATTAATATATTTCATGTTAGATAATTGTATATAGTACACCATAACAGCTTCGTCGTACTCAGTATATGCATATACTGGGCGTTATACTGGACACTCTCACAAGTGGTGTGTTGACAGCCAACTCGGCACTCGCTTCATACCTCTCGCACACACAGCAACTCGGCACTCGCTTCATTCCTCTCGCACACACAACAACTCGGCCCTAGCTTCATACCTCTCGCACACACAGCAACTCGGCACTCGCTTCATACCTCTCGCACACACAGCAACTCGGCACTCGCTTCATTCCTCTCGCACACACAACAACTCGGCCCTAGCTTCATACCTCTCGCACACACAGCAACTCGGCACTCGCTTCATACCTCTCGCACACACAGCAACTCGGCACTCGCTTCATACCTCTCGCACACACAGCAACTCGGCACTAGCTTCATACCTCTCGCACACACAGCAACTCGTCACTCGCTTCACACAGCGTTAGACTAGCACTAGCGTCAGGCTGGCAGTAGCGGTAACTTGATACTACAGCAAGGTTAGTATTAACGTCAGGCTGGCACTTGCGACAGGCTGGCCCTGGCGTCAGGCTAACACTAGTGTCAAGCTTTCACTAGCGTCAAGCTTTCACTAGCGTCAGGCTGGCACTATCATCGGGCTGGCACTAGCGCCAGCCAGGCCTTACCGTCAGGCTGGCACTAACGTCATGCTGGCACAAGCGTCAGACAGGTACTAGCATCAGGCTGGCACTAGCGTCAGGCTGGCACTAGCATGAGTCTGGGACTAGCGTTAGACAGGCAGAAGTGTCCGGCTGGCTCAAGCGTCAGACTGGCAGAAGTTTCAGGTTGGCACTAGCGTCAGACTGGCAGAAGCGTCAGGCTGGCAGAAGCGTCAGGCTGGCACTAGTGTCAGGCTGGCACTAGTGTCAGGCTGGCACTAGCGTCAGACTGGCAGAAGTTTCAGGCTGGCTCTAGCGTCAGACTGGCAGAAGTTTCAGGCTGGCACTAGCGTCAGACTGGCAGAAGCGTCAGACTGGCAGAAGTTTCAGGCTGGCACTAGTGTCAGACTGGCACTAGTGTCAGGCTGGCTCTAGCGTCAGACTGGCAGAAGTTTCAGGCTGGAACTAGCGTCTGACTGGCAGAAGCGTCAGGCTGGCACTAGCTCCAGGCTGGCACTAGCACCAGGATAGCACTAGCTTCAGGCTGGCACTAGCGTTAGGCTGGCACTAGCATCAGACTGGCAAAAGCTTCAGGCTGGCACTAGCGTCAGACTTACAGGAGCGTCAGGCTGGCACTAGCATCAGGCTGAGACAAGCGTCTGGCTGACACTAGCGTCAGGCTGGCTCTAGAGTCAAGCTGGCACCAGCGTCAGGCTGGCACTAGCATCAGGCAGGCACTAGCATCAGGCTGGAACTAACATCAGGCTGGCACTAGTGTTAGGCTGGCACTAGCGCCAGGCTGGCACCAGCATCAGGCTGGCACAAGTGTCAGGCTTGTACTTGCGTCAGACTGGCATGGCATCAGGCTTGTACTTGCATAAGGCTGGTAATAGCATCAGGCTGGCACAAGTGTCAGGCTTGTACTTGCGTCAGACTGGCACTAGCTTCAGGCTGGTACTAGCGTCAACAGGCACTAGCGTCAGGTTGGTACTTACGTCAGGCTGCTACTAGCGTCAACAAGCACTAGCGTCCGGCTGGTACTAACGTCAGACTGTCTCTAGCGTCAGGCTTGTACTAGCGTCAGGCTGGCACTAGCGTCAACAGGCACTAGCATCAGGCTGACACTAGCATCATGCTGGTACTAGCGTCAGGCTGGTACTAGTGTCAGGCTGGTACTAACGTCAACAGGCACTAGCATCAGGCTGGCACTAAGGTCAGGCTGGTACTAGCGTTAGGCTGGCACTAGCGTCAGGCTGGCACTAGCGTTATGCTGGTACTAGCGTCAGGCTGGTACTAACGTCAACAGGCACTAGCGTCAGGCTGGTAATAGCGTCAGGCTGATACTAGCGTCAGGCTGGCACTAGCGTCAGGCTGGCACTAGCGTCAGGCTGGCACTAGCGTCAGGCTGGTACTAGCGTCAGGCTGGTACTAGCGTCAGGCTGGTACTTGCGTCAGGCTGGTACTAGCGTCAAGTTTGTACTAGCGTCACCAGGGGCTAGCGTCAGGCTGGTACTTGCGTCAGGCTGGTACTAGGGTCAGGCTGGTACTAGCATCCGGCTGGTAGAAGCGTCAGGCTGGCACTAGCATCAAGAGGGACTAGCGTTAGGCTGGTTCTAGCGTCATCAGGCATTAGCGTCAGTCTATAACGAGCATCATGCTGGTACTAGCGTCAGACTGGCATTAACGTCAGACTGGCATTGGCGTCCGCCTGGCATTAGCGTCAGACTAGTACTAGCGTCAGGCTGGTACTAGCGTCAGGGTAGCAGAAGCGTCATGCTGGCACTAGCGTTATGCTGGTACTAGCGTCAGGCTGGTACTAACGTCAACAGGCACTAGCGTCAGGCTGGTAATAGCGTCAGGTTGATACTAGCGTCAGGCTGGCACTAGCGTCAGGCTGGCACTAGCGTCAGGCTGGCTCTAGCGTCAGGCTGGTACTAGCGTCAGGCTGGTACTAGCGTCAGGCTGGCACTTGCGTCAGGCTGGTACTAGCGTCAAGTTTGTACTAGCGTCACCAGGGGCTAGCGTCAGGCTGGTACTTGCGTCAGGCTGGTATTAGGGTCAGGCTGGTACTAGCATCCGGCTGGTAGAAGCGTCAGGCTGGCACTAGCATCACGAGGGACTAGCGTTAGGCTGGTACTAGCGTCATCAGGCATTAGCGTCAGTCTATCACGAGCATCATGCTGGTACTAGCGTCAGACTGGCATTAACACAGACTGGCATTGGCGTCCGCCTGGCATTAGCGTCAGACTAGTACTAGCGTCAGGCTGGTACTAGCGTCAGGCTGGCAGAAGCGTCAGGCTGGCACTAGCGTCAACAGGGACTAGCGTCAGGCTGGCACTAGCGTCGAGTTGTTACTAGCGTCATGCTGGTACTAGCGTCAGGCTGGTACTAGAGTCAGGCTGGCACTTGCGTCAGGCTGGCACTAGCGTCAACAGGGACTAGCGTCAGGCTGGCACTAGCGTCGAGTTGTTACTAGCGTCATGCTGGTACTAGCGTCAGGCTGGTACTAGAGTCAGGCTGGCACTTGCGTCAGGCTGGCACTAGCGTCAGGCTGGCACTAGCGTCAGGTTGGCACTGGCGTCAGGCTGGCACTAGAATCAGGTTGGTATTTGTGTCAGTTTGGTACTAGCGTCAGGCTGGCACAAGCGTCAACTGGGACTAGCTTCAGGCTGGTACCAGCGTCAGGCTAGTACTAGCGTCAGGCTGGCACTAGCGTTAGGCTGGCACTAGCGTCAGGCTGGTACTAGCGTCAGGCTGGCAGAAGAGTCAGGCTGGCATTAGCGTCAACAGGGACTAGCGTCAGGCCGGTAATAGCGTCAGGCTGGCACTACCGTCAGGCTGGTTCTAGGGTCAGGCTGGTACTAGCGTCAGGCTGACAGAAGCGTCAGGCTGGCACTAGCGTCAACAGGGACTAGCGCCAGGCTGGTAATAGCGACAACAGGCACTAGCATCAGGCTGGTACTAGCGTCAGGCTTGTACTAGCGTCAGGCTGGTAATAGCGTCAGGCCGGCACTAGCGTCAGGCTGGTACTAGCGTCAGGCTTGTACTGACATCAACAGGCGCTATCGTCAGGCTGGTACTAGCGTCAGGCTGGTACTAGGGTCAGGCAGGTACTAGCATCCGGCTGGTAGAAGCGTCAGGCTGGCACTAGCATCAACAGGGACTAGCGTCAGGCTGGTACTAGCGTCAGGCTGGTACTAGCATCAGGCTGGTACTAGCGTCAGGCTGGTACTAGCGTCAACAGGCACTAGCGTCAGGCTGGTACTAGCGTCAGTCTATCACGAGCATCAGGCTGGTACTAGCGTCAGGCTGGAACTAACATCAGGTTTGAACTAACATCAGTCTGGCACTAGCGTCAGACTGGCATTAACGTCAGACTGGCATTTGCGTCAGGCTTGCATTAGCGTCAGACTAGTACTAGCGTCATGCTGGCACTAGCGTCAGGCTGGTACTAGGGTCAGGCTTGCAGAAGCGTCAGGCTGGCACTAGCGTCAACAGGGACTAGCGTCAGGCTGGCACTTGCGTCAAGTTGTTACTAGCGCCATGCTGGTACTAGCGTCAGGCTGGTACTAGAGTCAGGCTGGCACTTGCGTCAGGCTGGAACTAGGATCAGGTTGGTACTTGCGTCAGATTGGTACTAGCGTCAGGCTGGCACAAGCGTCAGGCTGGCACTAGCGTCAGGGTGGCACTAGCATGAGTCTGGGACTAGCGTTAGACAGGCAGAAGTGTCAGGCTGGCTCTAGCGTCAGACTGGTAGAAGTTTCAGGTTGGCACTAGCGTCAGACTGGCAGAAGCGTCAGGCTGGCACAAGCGTCAGGCTGGCACTAGTGTCAGGCTGGCACTAGTGTCAGGCTGGCACTAGCGTCAGACTGGCAGAAGTTTCAGGCTGGCTCTAGCGTCAAACTGGCAGAAGTTTTAGGCTGGCACTAGTGTCAGACTGGCAGAAGCGTCAGACTGGCAGAAGTTTCAGGCTGGCACTAGTGTCAGACTGGCACTAGTGTCAGGCTGGCTCTAGCGTCAGACTGGCAGAAGTTTCAGGCTAGCACTAGCGTCTGACTGGCAGAAGCGTCAGGCTGGCACTAGTGTCAGGCTGGCACTAGTGTCAGACTGGCACTAGCTCCAGGCTGGCACTATCACCAGGTTAGCACTAGCGTCAGGCTGGCACTAGCGTTAGGCTGGCACTAGCATCAGACTGGCAAAAGCTTCAGGCTGGCACTAGCGTCAGACTTACAGAAGCGTCAGGCTGGCACTAGCATCAGGCTGAGACTAGCGTCTGGCTGACACTAGCGTCAGGCTGGCTCTAGAGTCAGGCTGGCACCAGCGTCAGGCTGGCACTAGCATCAGGCAGGCACTTGCATCAGGCTGGAACTAACATCAGGCTGGCACTTGTGTTAGGCTGGCACTAGCGCCAGGCTGGCACCAGCATCAGGCTGGCATTATCATCAGGCTGGCACAAGTGTCAGGCTTGTACTTGCGTCAGACTGGCACTGGCATCAGGCTTGTACTTGCATCAGGCTGGTAATAGCATCAGGCTGGCACAAGTGTCAGGCTTGTACTTGCGTCAGACTGGCACTAGCTTCAGGCTGATACTAGCGTCAACAGGCTCTAGCGTCCGGCTGGTACTAACGTCAGACTGTCTCTAGCGTCAGGCTTGTACTAGCGTCAGGCTGGCACTAGCGTCAACAGGCACTAGCATCAGGCTGACACTAGCATCATGCTGGTACTAGCGTCAGGCTGGTAATAGTGTCAGGCTGAGTAGTGAATAAGGAGACAGATTGAGGTAAAAAAATTTCAAACACGGTTGGGCACTTCCATGCCGACTTGACCCTGTTGGGCCAGAACGTCCATTCCTCTTATTTGGGTGGTTAGGTTAGGGCACAGTCAGCGCGCTCCTGGCTGGCTGGCGGTGGTCGGGTGGTGGTCCCCCCTGGGGTCCCGGGGGGACCACCACCAATGGTGTACCTGAGGAACTGGTGCCCTATCCTAACCTGTTTTCTTGAACGATTCGTCTCGAGCTTTTAAGATGAGTCTAGGGCCTCAAGGAGGGGGTCTCTACTTATGAGAGGTACCGAGGATGAATGTACAATAGTTGGAAACCAAAAAAATGCACTGGTGAAAGGCATATAAACGTTTTTTGGAGTATTTAATGGCGCTAGTATATGTGTGCGTGTGCGTGTTTTTTTTTATGTAAATACAATATATCTGGGTTTTTTAATTCCTGCTGAGAAGTGTATCTGAAATAAAGGGTTTTGTCTTTACATTTGGTAAGGTTTCAATAATCAGGTAAAAAATAAAAATGAGAAAGACTCGAGTTATATTTTTTCATTTACTCCAGATTATTGTCCCCATTTTCTCTATATTCCGTTTCACAGAAAACATCTTCACGGGCGGTCGAGTCCCGTTTTCGTCTATGGGGAAACTCAGATAATTGACAGAAAAAAATATATGCAAGTTCCATTTTTATTTCCAAACACTGGATAGTTTAATTATTAAGATCGGGAGTTTGCTTATTATTCAGATCTGGGAAACAACAACGTATTATTATTTCATGTTTTTTTTCATCCAAACATATAGAAACAAGTATTTATGTTTTAATTTTAGAGGAAAGAACATTATCAAATATTTGTTTTGTTTTTGTTTTTTCATAGGAAAGAGCAAACATCAGAAAAGACATAATTCATTCATTCATTCAGTATTATAGATATTCCCCCACCGGTAAATTAAAAACATTATTTATTTTCATCGTTAGTTCTTTTTTATTGAACAAATAAAAAACCTACAATACACATAACTACAATATATATATATATACGCACACACACACACACACACACACACACACACACACACACACACACACACACACACACACACACACACACACACACACACACACACACACACAACTGCATTAATGTTAAGCTAATTTTTTTTCGGGCAACACCCAAGGTTGGTTTTAATGGTCAATGGAGGCAGTCGCAGGTGGCAAATTGCTTTTTAATGCGCACGTGCCCCAAACTGGCGATCTCCCAGGGACCTTTCAAAGATAATTACCAGTACAGGTAGTTGCCAGTGACGAGCTGCCCTCTGGGGTCAATTTTAAGTAGTTATCCTCGGGGGAGGGGGAGTGGTTGTGCTCCACATCAGAACCCCAGGTATCCACAGTCTCACACTGCCTCGCCACCAACACACGGCCAGATGGTTCGCAACCTAATCAAATGCGTCCAATGCGGACAAATTTGCCACAACATTGGTAAGCCACAACATTGGTAATTTGCCACAATATTATATATATATATATATATATTTATTTATTTATTTATTTATTTATTTATTTATTTATTATTTTTTTTCACACATAGCCATTCACCATGCCACAAGCCCAGGCTGTGCATTACCCACCAACGAACTCTGGAGCAGTGATTCGGACCCATCGCCAAACCCGCGAGTTTGGTCTCCCGACTTATTCAGCGATTGTGATGACCCAGAATCGTCGCCCTCGCCACATACTCCACAATGCTCAGGCATGCCCCCCGATTTCGACCCTCGACCGTCAAGAACACGCCGCTATAAACGTGAGTTATTACTATTATTTATTTATTTATTTATTTATTCACATTATCAACGCCGTTATTGAAAAAGAGATAGAGAGAGAGAGAGAGAGACAATAATATATATATATATATATATATTCACGCCTCTTAAAAGAAAAGAAAAAAAAAAACATTTTTTTTTGTCTCCCACCAGGGCAACCATATCGACTGCTAATACAACGACAGCGGCAACAGCAGCAGCAGCAGGATGCCCAGCCAACATCACCCAGCTCACCAATCAACACACGAGTCAGGTCTCCCGACATGTTCAGCCCCACGCCAGATTTTGAACAGGATTTCTCACCTAAAACACCCCCATACTTGGCGGACGATGACGATTCCGACCCCGAACCCACACCACCAAGAACCCGCCACTACAAACGTAAGTTATTTTTTTTTTAATTATTATTATTATTATTATTATTATTATTATTATTATTATTATTATTATTATTATTATTATTATTATTGCGAGTTCTAGAGAGAGAGAGAGAGAGAATCATATAGACACCTCTTAAAAGGCTATTCCTTCCAGGGCTGCCATATCGCACTCTAATTCAACAACAACAACAATGCGAGGAACAACAACAACACGCACACGCCTCGCCCAGCTCCTCGGTCCATATGCGCGTCAGATCCCCCGATTTGTTCGAAAGTTATAGCAGCGACCAGTCAACATCATCGCTTCGGCGTGGGGGGCAGCATAGGGAACGTGAGTATTTCACATTTTTTTTTTGTTTTTGTTTTTTGGTGTTGTTATGTGATCTCGATCGCACCACTCGCTCAAAAAAAAAAAAAAAAAAAAAAAAAAAAAAAAAACAGACGAGGGCATGCCAATATTAATGCTAATTTTTTTTTTTTTAAGACATCTCAATCAACAATCAACACACTCACACACAGTTATTAATACCTCTTTTTTTTTTTTGCAGACGCTGACAGTGACTCATCATCATCATCAAACCCAGCAGCCTCATCACCAGAGTCGGTCGACTCACCACCACCACCACCACCTTCCCCGTCCCCTCCCCCTCCTCGGGATATTGAAATTGTGAACATCATTCGCAATTTCAATGGGGCTTACACACGATATTCATTTAGCGTGCCAGAGCACGTGCGGGGTGATCCAGGGGCTTATTTACGAACATATCGCGCATTTTTCATTAATTTCGTCAGTGGATTGTTTACTTTAGAACATCCACATATACGCGTCTTCCCTGATTTCACATTTGGGGTGCGGAGGCTCAACGTAGAGCCCGACGATGATTTTGATCCAGTAATGCACATGCGCGGGGAAATGCGTGCCATAACTCAAGAGGAAGTAGAACAGCTTGTTAATTTGTGGGTCGAAGAGATCGACAATAAACTAGAGGAGTTGCTAGGGGAACAGGAAGGGTCGAGTGTCGGGATAGAGTCGATTTTGGGGTTTTACATAAATGTGGCCCTTATCGAACACCCAATTCGACTGGGTTCATTCGTAGATTACCCGGCCAAGTTACGGGGCAAAGGCCACGTATTCAACCCCCGAGGGGAAGCCAATATTTGCCTTATGCAGTGCATCGCCGTGCACAAATGTTTGGCCCGCGGGCTCCTTTATAACGACATCAAAACTCGGGCCAAATCTGGGCGATGGTGTCGCCGACAAGTAAGATGGAGTAATAATATAGGCACCCCAGTATCTTTTGACGACATCGCCAAAGTCGAAGATTTAAACAGGTCTTCTATATTTATTTATGTTCTGGTAAAAGGAGATAATGGTCGTCATTACATTAGTTTGGCTAGAAAAGGCCGTGGGAATTTTAAGGATGTCATATCTTTACTTATGCTGGAAGGCCAACATTTGGTCCTCATCAAGAACTTTAGCTTTAATTTCCAAAGCCTTCCAAACCTGCACTGGGTCCTACCCAGCTGACTGCGGCTGGATGGATTACAATTGAGCCAAAAACAGTTGGTCAGGGCGAGATACGGCCTCATTTTTAGAGACATTTACTATAGCAAAAGCTTGAACGTCGAGAACTGAATGCGGGCCTGCACGAGAGTTGTTCTTGGCACTCAAATGTTTAGAGATTAAAATACATAGAATCTGCAAGAGCCCACCCAAGTCGCTCACGCGGGCAATAGACATGTTTTTCGCCCAAGTGTATTTATTTATTTAAAATAAAAATACGTCAGATAGAAAGATTTTCGCATTGCTATTATATTTACCTTATAAAGCCTCTTTATTAAAATGATATGCCACTGCGTATTATGATTGTTTTATAATAAATATTGCATAAATACTTACACGATTTCATAAACAAAAAATTATTTTAATGAGCCATGTTAGGAAGGCATCATCATTACAAAAAAATGAAAACTTTCAAACTAACTAAAAAGGTATATCTCATAGAGGAAGATTTATTCTACAAGATATATGTTATTGTTTAAGAGTTTCATTCTGTATCAAAAAGTTGTCAATGTTTTCAAAACTCTGGCCTACAAATTTTTTTTTTTAAGGTTTTCCGAGGGAGTAAATCTTGCTTCCTCTCTTTCTCCCACGTGTGTCCTCATTTGGACCGGATGCAGAGTAACCTTCAGTGCAAGTCCTGACTCAGTTCCCCAACGTCCAAACTATTGGACATTGCAAAATTTCACTAAATAATGGGGTATTTTAGTTGCCCCCTCTAATTATAGAGATTTTAATCTCTAAACATTTGAGTGTCAAGAACAACTCTCGTGTAGGCCCGCGTTCAGTCCCCGACGTTCAAGCTTTTTTCTATAGTAAATGTCTCTAAAATGAGGCCGTATCTCGCCCTGACCAACTGTTTTTGGCTCAATTGTAACCCATCCAGCAGCTGTCTGCTGGATAGAAGGGCAGTGGGCCTGATAAAAAAAAAAAAAAAATAAACATAAATTGTTAGACTAGCTCTTTACATATGCTAGTTGTTTAATTTATTAGATGATGATGCAAGAGGAGCCAGTACACATCTATGGATCAACCAATAAAAGCAGCAGACTTCTAGATGTTACTACTGCTCGGCTTAGCCCCCCCCCCCCCATAGCAAGATGGGAATAGGGGGGGGCGGGGCTGCATTAATAAAATGAATTAAAACTAACATTCAATTATATATTCTCAAACTTATGCAAAAAAAAAAAAAAACTTACAATCACATTTGCAAAACTTGCACAAATTAATTTTGGCAATTTCGTTTACCCATTATTTGTTTGTTTTTCTTGCTTGAGCCAAAAATGAATTGTTGGGTTCATTACCAGAGTCCATTTCCCACCGTGGTAACCCTTCCCACTACCCGCCCCACATGATGGGATTCATAATAAATGAACTAAACTAAGATTCAATTATATTCTCAACAAACTTATGCAACCCCCATACAATTACATTAGCAAGCTAACACAAATTCATTGAGCAAGTTTAACTATTCGCATACTTTGCGTCATTATATAATGGAATACGAAAAGGAAATTCGCAGAATTCAGAGATAACACCATCAATGGAGTCCAAGAAATACGCTTGTACTTCATTCATAATGATGCGCTGCCAGGAATCTTAGCAAAGTAACCAAAATATTTGCTTACTGTATGTATGTGCAGGATGCACATGACTCTCCGGTTAGGCGGTTGTGGAGTGAGACCAGCAACTGCAGACTTCCCATAGTCGTAAAAATGCCTTGCATAGAGACCGTTGCAAGCCTCTTGTTGAATCACTTAGGGTGCATATGTGTGTGTGTGTGTGTGTGTGTGTGTGTGTGTGTGTGTGTGTGTGTGTGTGTGTGTGTGTGTGTGTGTGTGTGTGTGTGTGTGTGTGTGTGTGTAACGAGCTTTCAAGAGATTGTCACTTACATAGCTAAACAATATGTAGGGTTCAGTTTCCAAATCAATTATGCGGCTCTCGAACCCTTCTTCCCCGTTACATGCGGGAGATCCCTTTTATTTTCAGCTAAAATATGCATTATATTCAGGGGGGTTCGCCGTGTCATAGCACAACCAAAAGCCCAATATACTCCCCTAAACTTTCCCTATACGTCAACTTTTCCGTTGTACGTCAGGCTGCGAGCAGCCGCGTCCAACAGCCTGGTTGATCAGTCCGGCAACCAGGAGGCCTGGTCGACGACCGGGCCGCGGGGACGCTAAGCCCCGGAAGCACCTCAAGGTAACCTCAAGGTATCCCATCTAAATTTAAAAAAAATGCATTTCCAATACCCAATATATATATATATATATATATATATATATATATATATATATATATATATATATATATATATATATATATATATATATATATATATATATATATATATATATATACTGTCCCTCCCCCTCCCCCACCCACTCAACCCCCCCCCCCCAGGAATAGGCCTGATTTGTTCAAGCCAAAGCCCATTTCACCCGAGTTTTCTCTATCTCATCTAAAAATAACGTTCATTTCCAATGCCCATTATCCAGCCACCACATATTCCCCATTCCCAAGACCATTTCATAATGTTAGTGCTGTGGCCATCTACATAATTTCATCCCAATTAATGACAATTCCCCATTAAATATTGGCAAAAATATGCCAAATCATATCACAGCCAAAGCCCATTTCACCCAAGTTTTACCTATCCCATATAAATTTAATGTGCATTTTCAATATCTAATATCCAGGTGCCCTATGTCACGCCCTATTCCCAAGACCATTTCATAGCGCAGTGTCCATCCAGCTGTTTCCAAATATCCAGATGTGTTTATATATCTTCAATCCTACGAAACCAGACCTAACCTAACACACAGCTAAGGCCAAATTTATCCCAATTTAATCCAATTTCCACCTAATTTGATCAAATTTATTCAAATTTAATCCAATTCCCGCCAAATTTACCCGAGTTTGCCATTTCATAGCACAACCAAAGCCCCAATTTGACCAAGTTTCACCTATCCCAATTAAATTTAATGTGAATCTTCAATATCAGGTCGCCCCCTCCAATGTCACAGCCTATTCCCAAAGACCATTTCATAGTAATAGTGCAGTGTTCATCCAGCCATTTCCATGTTCCAGATGTGTTTATATATCATCAAACCTACCAAAAGCAGACCTAACCCAATACGGCTAAGGCCAAATTTAACCAAATTTTCCCCAATTTAAGATAATTTCCACCTAATTTGCCACAATTTTATCCAATTTCCACCAAATTTTACCATAGTTCACCTTATCATAGCACAGCCAAAGCCCCAGTTTGTCCAAGTTTCACCCATTCCATATAACTTTTATATGTATTTCCAGTATCCAATATCCAGTGGTCGATGTCATACTTCATTCCCAGAGACCATTTCATAGTGATAGTGTAGGGTCCGACGAGCCATTTCCAATATACAGATGCGTTTATATACATCAATCCTACCTAAAAACCAGACCCAACCCTAACATGGCTAAGACCAAATTTAACCAAATGTATCACAATTTAAGACAATTTCTACCTAATTTGCCCCAATTTATCCAAATTTAAGACATTTTCTACCAAATTTACCCGATTTTACGTATTATAGCAAGGTCAATGCCCAATTTTCCCCCCAAGTTTCGCTTATTCCATACACTGCAAATTTAAGGCGCATTTTCAATATGCAGTCCAATAATCTCGACTGTTTTCTTTTTTTATTTGTTAGTTATGGATCTTTGTTAAATATTGTATTTTATATTCTTAGAAAAGTATTTGTTTGGATATTAACCCAACCACCCGGTACCCTAACCTGCGTGGATCTTTGCCGAATATTCCTGTCAATGTTGTTTATGGACTCAACAACCCTGAAGCTAACCTGCCTTGACCTTGACGTTAATTGTTGCACCTTCTTTTTTTGGGGGGAAAGTGATGTTTTTGCATCAACCCAACCGCCCTTGCCCATACCTCTGATACCAAAAATCTTGGTTCCATATATGGTATCATATTCTTGGGACACAGCCAATCCATCCCAACCTAACCTCTATTAACTATGGGTTTAATGACCATTTTTCTCTACATCAGTTCAAACACAACCCAACCTCATATAAATGGAACTGAACTCCATTTGTACACATGTTCTTAGGAAACATGATAAGATTCGCCATATCTCTATCATTAAATAATAAAAATTTTCCTTAACCGGGCCTATAATCCCCCCCCCCCCAATTGGGACAAATTTGTGTTAGATTTGGGTTATATTAAGCTAATGTGAAAATATATTCCTAATTTAATTATTTAATATCCATAATTTGCCAGAATTTCGAGGGGGGGGGGGGGGATTATAGGCCCGGTTAAGGAAAATTTTTATTATTTAATGATAGAGATATGGCGAATCTTATCATGTTTCCTAAGAACATGTGTACAAATGGAGTTCAGTTCCATTTATATGAGGTTGGGTTGTGTTTGAACTGATGTAGAGAAAAATGGTCATTAAACCCATAGTTAATAGAGGTTAGGTTGGGATGGATTGGCTGTGTCCCAAGAATATGATACCATATATGGAACCAAGATTTTTGGTATCAGAGGTATGGGCAAGGGCGGTTGGGTTGATGCAAAAACATCACTTTCCCCCCAAAAAAAGAAGGTGCAACAATTAACGTCAAGGTCAAGGCAGGTTAGCTTCAGGGTTGTTGAGTCCATAAACAACATTGACAGGAATATTCGGCAAAGATCCACGCAGGTTAGGGTACCGGGTGGTTGGGTTAATATCCAAACAAATACTTTTCTAAGAATATAAAATACAATATTTAACAAAGATCCATAACTAACAAATAAAAAAAGAAAACAGTCGAGATTATTGGACTGCATATTGAAAATGCGCCTTAAATTTGCAGTGTATGGAATAAGCGAAACTTGGGGGGAAAATTGGGCATTGACCTTGCTATAATACGTAAAATCGGGTA